CAGCAGCAAACTGCAGGTAGAGAGTATGCTGCGATAGGAGACTACTAGCAGTCTGCTGAACTCTTATCTCCCCATACTCCACAGCTGTCTCGCTACCCCCTATTGCCAACTCTACTCCCAGACGCTGCTGGTCGCTGGTAGACGCTGGCAGACGCTAGATCGATACCTATACTTCCCTAGCCCTCGAGACGCTGCTGGTCGCTGGTAGACGCTGGCAGACGCTAGATCGATATCTATACTTTCTAGTCGCTGACGCTGCCGGACGCTCTTCAAGCTGGAGGACGCTGCCGCGAAGTATGAACGCAGTCGTAGCGGGGACAATGACTGCGTGCACGATGAGGAGACCATAGATCAGACATGAATATCGAAATGAGGTGGAATTCTTGCGACCAGTTGATAGTCAAAATATAGCGCACCATTCACCATAGTCACCGTCCTTCCTTCAGCCTGCAAGGACAATGAATAATGTCGGATATGTAGGGAAATGCCATCGTGCGACTTTCGAGTGTTTTGACTACCGCAGTGAACGAGCTAATTGTGCTAAGTAGAGAACCAAAAGTAGAGTGAAGGGCAGCGAAAACAATTTGAGTCCTCTTGAAAAAAAAGGCAAAGCGTACCTTAGCCTTTCGTATTTGCGCGTTAATTGTGGAAAGATCTACGGCCGGTGGACCTGCTCCTACCATAGCGCCCGCTTGTTGCATCATCATTGCAACGCCCATTCCAACTCCTACCGACCTGAAATGATTTGCTGAACAGTATTCGGTAATGGAACAATGAAAGTAATATAAAGAAAACGCTCCAATTGAGTCATTTCCACATTAATATTAATGTGGTCGGGTACTCGTACCAGGGCGCATCGTCGCTTGGAATTCACCAACAAAGGGGGGGGGGGAAGCTGCGTTTTCAATGTAGGGAAAATTTGTGTCCCCTCCCCTCCCGCTCGTCAGCTCGATCGTATCAGAGAAAAGAACTAGGAAGGGTTGTATCAAACGACCTTTACGGGGAAGGGACATACGAACCCGACGAAAGTCCCCAACCAGTTATGTGCCCTGACTCGTACAATCACGTTCACTACAGATGACAAGGCGTATCCACGCGGCTGCATTTGGCACGCCGCCAAATCCATTCTCCACCAGTTTTTTGAGCGGGTAAGTGACAACAACTGGTGAAAAGCGACTGATACGAACGATATGATACAGTCCTGCTGCTTGCCGAACGAAAACAAGGAAAAAAAATGGTTGGCGCCGCGCCAAACGCAGCCGCACGTACACGCCCCTTCATCCACAACGAACCAGTCTATACGGTACCTGACGTTGAAGACTTTGGTAGGAGCCAACCTAGGTATGACGGAACGATCACGGGCTTGCAAAATAATTGCGGGCAGGGATCTCAACAGTTCCGGGAATTCCGAGCATGGAAGACCCACACCGTGCACGTGGCGAGCGGCACCATCCGTGCGACCACTACGAAAGGTCGCTTGATACGACCCACTCCCCCCCCCACCCCCCTTAGTTCCCTCATCTGGCACGATCGAGCTGTCGGGGGGGGGGCATATAGCACACTTGAAAAAGGAGAAACCGCGAGAACCCAACAACCGGGAAAGATGTTTTCCCGACTCTGCAACTTTCTCTCAGAAAGCAAATAGACTCCCCTCCATCACAGCACGTGAAACAAGAAAAATCGCTGTCAAAAAAATTTTGTGAGACCAAATGCCCTCCGCCCGCAGCCCAGCTACCCTTCGATCCCCTGTTCGGGAGTCTCCAACGATGGTGTCTCGACCACCTCTGCTCTCCCGCCCCCTATATATGCCTGGGTGTGGAGCGTTACTTCCCAACAGTATTGCAGTAAGAGTTGCTTCGGTTATAGAGGGGACGCGCAGCGCCGCTGCCATATTGAGTATTGAGTAGTATGAGTCCTGGCGTAGGTCGCCTTGCTTGCAAAGCATATTTCGTCACGATGGGGGGGGGTGATGTTCCTCTTTTCTGCATTTTTCAATCTCCCATGCATTTGGAAAGAGACATTGGAATTTGGAAAAGTGAAGAGACAAGTTTAGAGAAATTACGATTGCCGTCGTTTTCTTCGTTCTTCGAAATCAGCATGTCTGTCAGCCGAAACGCAACAACCCATTAGCCCATGAGTTTCTAGGATGATTCGTAGATTTCGAAAAACCTGGAATTTGGTTTATAATGTTTCACTATTAGTCATATAATATAGGGATAAAAGCAGTGTCTTAATGAATTGATAGAAGCGAAAAAGAGAGGGTTCACAAGTGAAGGTTGTCCTTTGTGATGGACAGCATCGTAAGAACAGCAAGAAGCTGTATCATCTTCAACGGGACGCGACTTTGCTTTTAGCGCCACCGCCACTCCCACCAAATCCGCTGTAATGTTTGCATCTGAAGTAGTCATGGGTCCCATCATATGACCTTCACTTCTGGCAAAAAGCGCCAACGCCAAAAATGCATATCATATTCACAACCAGGACTCTTGATTAATGCTGAACACAAATGAGTTTGCGTATGCACTGTCGGAAAAAGGAGGGGCAA